ATAAGACTATTAGACAGTCCAGGAGATACATAAACATCTCTGAATGAAGAATTGATATCCCCTACTTCATTAATAGCTAAATGACTCCCATTAGCTACTTGAATATGAGATGAACCATGATATGGACGAACATTGCAAAGCGTATCAGATGAATTGGTCATATGATTGGATGCAGCAGAATCAAGAAGCCAAGACTTATATGAAGTAGTACCATTACCTTGGAGCCCTAAGGCGGAAAAGGCTGACATAATCATCTGCTGAACCATTTCAGGAGTAAGAACAGATGATCCGCCCGTAGAAGAAGAAGCTGAGGACATCACTGGAGCAGAAGAGGTGTTCACTGCAGCCTGATAGGCGGTAGCTTGACGATTCTGAGGCCGAGTGGGACATTCTTTGATAAAGTGACCCTGTTTCTTACAATAGTTGCAAGATTTCTTAGCACAGTTGGCGGCAATATGACCATACTCCTTGCAGCTGAAACATTGAACCTTGCGCATATCCTTACTCTTCCCTTTCCCGTAGGCGACATAGGCTACTGGATTTGGGTTTGAGTCTTGCTGGAATGTAGCCTGTGTAAGAAGACGATGCTCCTCACGAAGCAATTCTCCAAAACAAACATCCAAAGATGGAGAAGGATCCCGATTCATTAAATTGGAGCGAGTGACCTCAAATTCAGGGCGTAATTTCATCAGGAATTGATCTCTCTTGCTCTGCTCATGAACAGCCTGAACATCAGAGAGAGATGCAGCAGGTACCTTCGCATAAACCATATCAGATTTTCAAAAATCAATGTTTTCGTTTTGCAGGATCTCGACATTTAGGGACTCGATTTCTTCTTCTCGACATTTGAGATCTCGAGATTTGCATCTCGACATCTTGATCTCGAGATTTGCATCTCGACATCTTGATCTCGAGATTTGCATCTCGACATCTTGATCTCGAGATTTGAATCTCGACATCTTGATCTCGAGATTTGCATCTCAACATCTTGATCTCGAGATTTGAATCTCGAAATCAAGATCTCGAGATTTGAATCTCGAAATCATGATCTCGAGATTTGAATCTCGAAATCAAGATCTCGAGATTTGAATCTCGAAATCAAGATCTCGAGATTTGTGATCTCGAGATTTGGAATTTCGAGTTTAGGAATTTCGAGTTTTGGGATTTCGACATTTGGGATCTCGATGTGTTGGATCTCGACTCTCTGAAGATTTCGAGATTTTCAAAATTTCTCGATGTTTTGAATCTTTCAAAGTTTGCAGTTTCTTGGAACTCATAATTCGAATCTTGACATCCTTTGCAGTTCATCGAAGCTTTACATTATAAGGATCTCTAAATGATTCCCTGCTTATATATGTTTCATGAGTTTTCGATGTTCTGATGTTTTTCAAACAGCAAGCTTTCGATATTATGAGATTCTTCGAAACTCCAAAGTTTTCGAGGTTCCAAACATTTTGAAATTCTGAAGATTTCGTCATTCTGAGGTCTGTTTTGCAGGAGGATTTCGTCATTACTCTTCAAGGCACACTTGAAATTAAAATCTTCAGATTTGGATTTCGAGTTTTTTTCCTTAGAATATTGTTTAAATTCACCTGCTCTCGACATTCAACATCGAGCACCTCATCTTCGAAGAAATTCCTCAAAAACTCAAAATTAGAGATTTTCTGCGACACCGCACTGTTTTGACCATAACTTTTGACTCGGTGATCCGATTTGAGCAAACTTTTTTTTGTTAGAAAGCTAACGAAAATATCTTCATTAATTCTCGGGCAACTCCCCAGAACACATTCTCACGCGCCCTCACTCGCAGTCTTTGAGGGTCAAAACGTTAGGTTTCCGACAAACTTTGTAAATCACCGATGTCCAGGTCAAAACTTAGGCAAATCTGTTCAAATTCTTTCAAAGTCCACCCTGAGGTCAGAACTTTTCTAAACTTCAATGTAAAGGCCTGAAAATCGTAGATAATTCAATCTACCTCGCGTCAACGGTCATCTTACAACAATCAACAATCAACTGCTGAAGCCTCCCCTGACTCATCAACATTATGTGATCATCAACATGCTGAAATTCTACATGGTGAGCTCAGGAAACCGTCATGTGTGGTACTTGTTCAGATTGCTCCACACACATGGCGGGGATGACAAGCTGTGAGCAATCAATCCTTGCACATTCTGAGGGGGAGTTTCAGTTTTCTCCTCCTGGCGCCTTACACCGACAAAGCAAGGAATCTCTCAATGGATGCAACATTCTAGGGGGAGTGTTCAAAGTAATCCTTCCCGGTGCCTAACAATGACAAAGCATACCAAGTACTTCAGTTGAGGGGGAGTACAGAGAGAAAATGAAGAAAGTAATGAGAGAACATGTCCCTATGACTTAGTAAACCCAACTAAGCCTACCCAAGGGACAAAGCCGAGCGTAAGTGCGTAAGTGAGCGAGTGAGTGAGTGAACATTATGAGCATTAGGAAGCAGAAGGCTCAAGTGAGAAGAAAAACAATTATCAATGATGAGTCTGCTACCTCAATTGCCTGCTATGAATTGAACATTTGCTCCTAGCCACTAAAATACTATGGACTATCCCCATAGGTTCAGGACTGAATTTATTCAGATCCCGGGTAGAAGTTGCTGCATTTTGTCCAAACGGCGCATGCACAACCCTACCCTAGACCACTCACTTGTCTCCCAACAGACAGGTGTTTAATCATAGTTCACGGGGAACCGCATCTCTCATTACTACCTCCTTACGAGGCAAGTAATACTGACTACATTGGCCTCAGCCCCATGCCACTGAACTTTCATTGATCACGTCGTGTCTAGTTACTCACTTCCCAAATGTTTTGAAATTTTCTAGGACACAGACACATTTTAGAGTCAGTTGCTAGTCTTCAAGACTTGCGAGAACTTCCATAGGGCTCATCTATTACAGATGTAGACCAATAATTGGAAGGAAGTCCTGCTGTTGCAACATAAGAATCACCAACATTTTCAGGCCATTGCTTTAGAGTTTATCTCTATAGTGATGATAACGGGCGTCTTCACGACCCCGGGGGGCTACGTTATCTTTTTTAGATTATGCTTGTTTTTCATGTTTTTATTTCCGCAGAATAAAAGAATAAAAGCATGACGTCCCGATTCATCGGATCGTCATGAGGGGGAGAGTGGTCCACATGCTGTTAACACTGAAACAAATCATTCTGGGACACTTCACTCCTCCATCACAAAATTCAACACCCTCTCTACTATCTCCACAACTCAAATCAAATGGTCAGCTACACTCACAAATCAACCATCATTATGTTTCGCTGTGCCACCGACAGGTTCTCCTCAAATGCATTCATTCCAAATAGTCAAAAAGACTACATTGTGGAGGAGACAGAGGTCAAATACTCATGTCCTGAAGATGAATTCCATGGGCGTCTCCTATTCTCCAAAGAATATTCATTCTAGAGGCGTCACCGGACTTCATCCAAGCTGATCAAGAGCAACTTCTGGAAGGCAAGGACTACATGCAAGATACAGAAGGTCCCTCAACCCCCGGCATCAAAGATCAAATTGTCAAGAAGACATCAAAGGGGAGATTGCAAGGATTTCTTCAGATAGCCTTCCTCAGAAGTCAAGTTCAAAGACAAAGGAAGCTCAATAACAACAAAGACAAAGATATCTACGCTGCAATGCTGATTCAACACGATTGATCACCAAGGGGGAGATTGTTGGGAATATTTTATGGTGTTCAATCTAGTTAGTTATCTTTGTATTTGTGTAGTTATTAATTAAACGTGTAATACGGGCCACAAATGTGTATCAGCCCGTGGGCTTCCTTGTAACCCGTAAGTTAGCCAACTTCTCCTATAAAAGGAGGCTAACTTACGGGAACCTAACTAATCGAGAGAGGCTTAGAGACCAGAGGCGTAAAGATAGAGAGATTAGGGTTGCCGCTGCTCTCCTTCTCCAGGAGAGCAGCGGACAGTTTTCATACGGTATACCAGATTCGCGTTCAATCTTGTCGACTTCTTTCTATCTGCTTCTTTTTCACTGTTATGGTTGTATGATTGTTAGTATTTTGGGATTAACAATATGCCAAGGAGAATTAATTATATTGATTAAACCAATAAACCGTTTGTGTTGAGGTTATCAATCTCAATCGTTTTCATCTTAAGTTTATTGCTACAATCAAGTTAATATACGGCGCTTGTTCTATATTGACTCGATAGTAAGTTTTATTAATGAACGCATCTCGTTATTAATAACTACCCTCGATGAACTGGATATACTCCTCAATTGAGTATTCGAGAGGAAGATAGTTAAAGATATAACCGGGATCGACGAACATTTCATTAAGTGGATAAAAGCAAAACCAAGCCTCCACATCTATTATTCAAACTCATATAGGTTGTTCATCTTAGTATATTTAAATCAAACAAATCTAAACCCCCCTTTATACTTCTTATATAAAAGAAAAGTATTCATTTCCCTGTGGATACGAACCTTACTTCACTATACTACGTATTAGTGTTGTATTGATAAATTATTTTGAGTGCACCTCACGACAAGTGCTCGTCAGCTGTCATCCGTCGGCGGCATTTCTGCCGCACAGGCTTCTGGAGTTCGGATGAAGAAGATGTTGGAAAATGGTTTTACAAATTAATATTATTTGTAAAAATCATTTTGAAATGAATGAGAAATTGTTTCTCGAAAGATAAGTGTGGAATTATATCTCACACGCAAACAATGTCACCGCCGTTCAGTAGGCCGGGTCGGGTTTTGGGTTAGAATCTTAAACCGTCCGCCCGAGTATATGGCTTACAGATAATTCTATTAATTAGTCGCTCTTAATTTTGGATAATGTTTGGCAATAGACACATCCATTGGTTTTAGAAGGAAGGTCACGACCTTTCTTTCTAAAGGTGTCTTTTGGGTGTAGAGTCTCCTGGCCAGAGCTCTATATATATCCATGACTGCCGGCATTTTCAATAAATCCGAAAATCATCACACAATCCTCCATATTCTCTCTCCGTTGCATCTTTGAGTTCGCCGGAATCCCGTTGGGAGCGAAGAACCGTTCTATCCTGGGAGACGTTTGCTACGTGTGTCGGGCAAAAAACGTCATAAGGAAACAACGCTTAAGTTGGACTCGGTTACAAGTAATCTTACGTTTTTTCTTAACTATTTTATTTTTTATTTCATTTGGATGCAGATTATTGTACATACTTATAACAATCTTAAGACGTTTTATTTTTCAATTTCTTTCTCGTTCTGTATGCAATTACCTTCTTTCTTCCTTTTCGTCTAATCTTATTACAAATCATCTGTAATGGTTTGTTTGTGTGTCTGCACGGTTACATTATATAAATTTTGCTTTGACTACCTGCATTATTTTATCATACGTAATTTGAATTTTAATTTGTCTTCATGACTATTTCTTTCACCCTTTGCCATAAGTTACTGCATGCATAATTATAATAAGTGCTTTACTTATTCCATCTTTTATTTACTTAACTGTCACAATCTCAATTTGGTTCGCATGACTATTTTCTTTTCGATGCTATATGTATATGTTTAGTTGAACGTGACAATTAATGATTGCATTTGTTTTAACTGCCAGTTTGTGAAAGGTTACGTTGTTTTATTCTATTAGACGCACCCCTCTACTAATTCTTATAATCTTCCATGATCTGTGATTGATACTGCCAATTTGCGAAACGTTACTATATATATGTTTCTCAAGTATTTCGTACAGAGTATATGTTAAGTGCATGAGTGTTATACGTACTATGTATTACTATAGTGAACTCCGTAAACTTTGAACGTGCCTGCATGTTACTTGTCTCCTGTAAGTTTAATTTCGTTTATTTTATTTTCTCTTGATCAGACACTGTTTATCTTTAAAAAAAAATCTCTTCAATATTTACGTACACATTTAATTGTGTATCTTCATATACTTTGTGTATATAATATTTAGATTAATAAAGAATAATAATAATCTTTGCTTCCATCTGTTTTGTGTAAACAGAATGGGAGACGAATCAAACATTGCTTTTCCGAAATTATCACCGCTCCCTACTGTCCCAGTCAGTTCTTCTCATGGAGAAAAACCTAGCAAATTCAACGGCCATGATTTTAAACGTTGGCAACAAAAAATGTTGTTTTATTTAACGACGTTGAATTTGGCTAAGTATCTCTCCGAAAGCCAACCCCTTCTAGAGGAAGGCGAGACTGATAAGGAAAAAGTGGCTGCGGTGGATGCGTGGAAATATTCAGATTTCTTATGTAGAAATTATCTCTTAAATGGACTAGATGACTCCTTATACTCTGTGTATGCCGATATAAAGACGGCTAAAGAATTATGGGAATCACTTGAGAAAAAATACAAGACCGAGGATGCCGGCAAAAAGAAATTCATTGTCGGACATTTCTTGGACTTTAAAATGGTTGACCACAAATCGGTTGTTTCTCAAGTTGAAGAATTCCAACTTATTCTTCATGAAATTCACGCTGAGGGTATGTCCCTTAGCGAGTCCTTCCAAGTGGCTGTGGTAATTGAAAATTTACCTCCCAAATGGAAAGACTTCAAGAATTACTTGAAGCTTAAGCGTAAGGAAATGTCCCTAGAGGAGCTCATTGTCCGCTTAAGGATAGAGGAGGATAACCGCAAATCCGAGCATAAGGCTGGAAGATCTAATTCCATGGAAGCTAAAGCAAACATGGTGGAAGCGGGATCCAAGATGGGGAAGAAGAGAAAGCACAATGGAGAAGGAACAAGTGGAGGGAAGCCTTCGTCAAAGAAGTTCAAAGCAAAGTGCTATAATTGTGGCAAGCCCGGTCACCGTGCTAAGGACTGTCGTGCTCCTAAGAAAAAGAAGACTGGACAAGTCAATATTGTGGACGACCTCTCCGATGACATGGGTGAAATGAACCTATGTGCCGTGATATCTAAATGCAATTTAGTGGGTAACACTAAAGAATGGTGCATTGATACTGGAGCTACCCGACATATTTGTGCTAACAAGTGGATGTTCACTGATTATCATCCTGTTGATAACGAGGCACAACTATTTATGGGTAACTCTTCCACATCTAAAGCGGAAGGTCGCGGCAAAGAAGTCCTCAAAATGACAAGTGGGAAAACTCTGACCTTGAACGATGTGCTACATGTCCCTGATATACGCAAGAATCTGGTTTCGGGCTCCCTCCTTAGCAAGAATGGCTTTAAGCTAGTCTTTGTGGCTGATAAATTTGTACTTACTAAAAATGATGTGTTTGTAGGGAAGGGCTATCTCAATGATGGTCTCTTCAAAATGAATGTACTTACCGTTGTACCCAAACTTGTTGATAATAATAAAGTGGGTTCTTCTTACTTGGTTGAGTCTTCTTCTGTTTGGCATGCTAGATTAGGACATGTAAATTATGATACTTTGCGTAGACTAATGCATTTAAAGTTGCTTCCTAAATGTCATATTGATCCTAATCACAAATGTCAAATTTGTGTCAAATCGAAAATGGCTAGAAAACCTTTTCACTCTATCACAAGAGAAACTGAACCGCTAGACCTCATACATACGGATCTATGTGATCTTAAGTATGAAGAAACTAGAGGTGGGAAAAGGTATTTCATCACCTTCATCGATGATAGCACTAGATATTGCTATCTGTATTTGCTAAGAAACAAAGATGAAGCGATTAATGCTTTTAAGCATTATAAAGCCGAAGTTGAAAATCAACTTGGTAAGAAGATTAAGGCACTAAGGAGTGATAGAGGTGGTGAGTATGAATATCCATTTGAATCAATTTGTTTGGAAAGTGGAATTATTCATCAAGTAACCGCTCCTTATACGCCTCAATCAAATTGAGTAGCCGAAAGGAAGAACAGGACTTTAAAGGACATGGTTAATGCCATGTTAGTAAGTTCTCGTGCACCAAATAATTTCTGGGGGGATGCTATTTTAGCTGCCAATTACATTCTAAAAAGAATGCCCCACAAGAAAACTCTTAAAATTCCATATGAGTTATGGAAAGGGCGCAAGCCAAGTTTTAATTACTTGAAGGTGTGGGGATGTCAAGCTAAAGTAGCTATTCCCAAACCTAAGAGGACAAAACTTGGACCAAAGACCATTGATTGTGTCTTTGTTGGATATGCACAAAATAGTAGTGCATATCGTTTCCTTGTTCACAAATCCCATAACATGGATATAGTGGCCGATACTTTTATAGAATCTAGAGACGCTACATTCTTTGAGAATGTATTCCCTTTCAAGGGAGATTGTGAAGTTGTCTCCTCCGACATGGATGTTTTCATTCCAACCCATGTCGAAGAAACAAACTCACATAAGAGGCCTTTTGATTCTATAAAAGATAACAACGAAATAACGCGAAAATGTGAAGGGGGACGCAACAAAAGGGCTCGAAAATCAAAGGATTTTGGACCCGGTTTTGTTTTATACCTTCTAGACAATGAGCCTCAAACTTATAAGGAAGCAATGTCCTCACCAGACGCTGCCCAATGGCAAGAGGCTATCAAGAGTGAAATTGATTCCATCATGTCTAATCACGTTTGGAAAGTTGTAGATTTGCCTCCTGGATCTAAACCTCTAGGATGCAAATGGATCTTCAAAAAGAAAAGAAGAACTGATGGAACAATTGAAAAGTACAAAGCTCGATTGGTTGCCAAAGGATACAACCAAAAGGGAGAATTTGACTACTTCGATGTCTACTCTCCAGTTACAAGAATAACTTCAATTCGAATGCTATTGGCAATAGCTGCATTGAAGGGTTTGGAAATCCATCAAATGGATGTAAAAACTGCATTCTTAAACGGTGACTTAGAGGAAGAGATTTACATGCAACAACCTGAAGGTTTCATTGTCCCTGGACAAGAAAGAAAGGTTTATCGCCTAGTAAAATCTCTGTATGGGTTAAAGCAAGCCCCCAAACAATGGCATGATAAATTTGATAGTGTAATGCTGTCAAATGGATTTAAAATCAACGAGGTCGACAAATGTGTGTATGTGAAAGGCAATCAAAATGACTACGTCATAGTTTGTCTATACGTAGATGATATGCTCATTTTTGGTAGTAACAATAATTTGATAAAGGCTACCAAAAGCATGTTGGCCAAGAAATTTGAAATGAAGGATCTCGGTGTTGCGGATGTAATTCTAGGAATTAAAATCATTAGAACACCCGAAGGGTTGATATTATCTCAATCACACTACATTGAGAAAATGCTTGAGAGATTCAAGAAGTATAATATCAAACCCATGAGAACTCCTTTTGATTCCAGTGTTCACCTCAGTAAAAACAGAGGAGAAAGTGTTTCACCAGATGACTATCCTCGGGTCATAGGATGTTTAACATATGTCATGAATGGAACACGACCCGATATAGCTCAAGTTGTGAATAAGCTAAGCCGGTTTTCAATAAACCCCAATAGAGAACACTGGAAAGCGCTTATAAGGGTGCTTGGGTATGTGATGTATACCAAAGACTATGGTTTACATTTTCAAAAATATCCAGCCGTGCTTGAGGGATATACCGATGCAAATTGGATATCCGATTCCAAGGACACAAAATCAACGAGTGGATATGTGATTACCCTTGGAAGTGGTTCAGTGTCGTGGAAATCTTCCAAACAAACATGTATTGCTAGATCTACCATGGAAGCTGAATTCATTGCCTTGGATAAGGCAGGAGAAGAAGCTGAATGGTTGAGAGAGTTTTTGGAAGATCTTCCTTGTTGGGAAAAGCCTGTCCCTCCAATATCCATTCATTGTGATAGTCAAGCTGCAATTGGAAGGGCAAGGAATGCAGTATATAACGGTAAGTCTAGGCACATCCGTCGTAGACATAATACTGTTAGAAAACTAATAAAAAATGGGATCATCTCTCTTGATTATGCTAAGTCGAAAGAAAATATTGCGGATCCGCTAACCAAACCTTTACCGAGAGAGTTGGTCGAGACGTCAAGGAGAGCAATGGGCATACGGCCAATGATCCAATAAAAGTCCATGGGGAAACCCTACCTATTATTGAGAGTGCCTCATGATTAGGTTCAAGGGGAAAACACAACTGTGGACTGGCTCGGGCGGTACTAGCCAAGATATAGTACACTCATGCCAAGAGCATTTAGGGTATGTTACGCTTTTAACGATCTCTATATCTTGATTCGTTCAAGTAAAGTATGGCATGATACCTTCCATAGAGATCACCTATGCTGGTGGAAGAAAGCCGCTTCTATGAGAGTTTATGGCACGAGATAAATTCTCCGGTGCACGATAAACTCTCGAAAACACTAGGTTTACACATTGGCTGACGGTTCAAAGCAAAGTGCTACCGATTGTCCAGTAAATCCGATGGATATACACTAAGGTAGGTTCAAAGTTTCACGACTACCTAACCCTATGCAGAGTTCCCATCTTCCCATGTCAAATTCCAATATGTTTCCTGTCTTTAAGCCAATTTCCCATTCATGTGGGGGGATTGTTGGAAAATGGTTTTACAAATTAATATTATTTGTAAAAATCATTTTGAAATGAATAAGAAATTGTTTCTCGAAACATAAGTGTGGAATTATATCTCACACGCAAACACCGTCACCGACGTTCAGTAGGTCGGGTCGGGTTTTGGGTTAGAGTCTTAAACCGTCCGCCCGAGTATATGGCTTAAAGATAATTCTATTAATTAGTCGCTCTTAATTTTGGATAATGTTTGGCAATAGACACATCCATTGGTTTTAGAAGGAAGGTCATGACCTTTCTTTCTAAAGGTGTCTTTTGGGTGTAGAGTCTCCTGGCCAGAGCTCTATATATATCCATGACTGCCGGCATTTTCAATAAATCCAAAAATCATCACACAATCCTCCATATTCTCTCTTCGTTGCATCTTTGAGTTCGCCGGAATCCCGTTGGGAGCGAAGAACCGTTCTATCCTGGGAGACGCTTGCTACGTGTGTCGGGAAAAAAACGTCTTAAGGAAACAACGCTTAAGTTGGGCTCGGTTACAAGTAATCTTACGTTTTTTCTTAACTATTTTATTTTTTATTTCATTTGGATGCAGATTATTGTACATACTTATAACAGAAGACGCGCAATTCCTAGAGAGAAGGTTAGCGCGGCGCGGATGAAGAGAAAGAGGAGAACGGCTGAAAATTTTAGATATGAGGCGGATAGTTAATTAGGGTTGAGCGTAAAAAAAATTCCTACGGGAGTATTTTCCAGTGTCACTAATAAGTAAACCTTGATATGTTAGTGTAATAAAAGTCTAATAACAACACTAGTGTCACTAAAATAGTGTCACTGTAAGCTGTTTTTTTACTAGTGATGACTTCATCGATTCATGTGCTAACTTATACTATAAGTCTATGATTCATAATTAAGCAATTCCTATTTACCTCTTTACATTTACAATAACTACACATTACACCCCATGCAACGCACGGATAAAATACTAGTGTTCATAATCATATAACAAAGAATACATGATATACATATGAATAGTTGAGATAGAAAAACTAAAGTGGGTGCTCTACCTAGAATGATACATGCAAAATTAATTGTGTAAAATCTTAGGCTTGTTCGTGCATCTACCTTTATTATACGAGAGAGGTTCGAACATCCTATTACAATTAGGAAAGGTATGTGCATGGATTAATTAATGAACTAGCCCACTTTTCGCTCAACTAAAAAGGCCCACTATACTAGTTTAAATAATAAAGATAATTACAATTAATTTGAAAACAATTAATAATGTTCTACAATCTCCCCATTTGTGTTCAAATGATTATGAAGAGCATATTATCTTTGAGACCTGTATAATGACTTTCTGTAACCTAGTATGACTTCATATTCTCTCAAA